CTCAAGCTTGAGCTTGGCATTTTTTTAGTGAAGGTCAAGTGTTTTTTGAGCTTTGAATTGCTTGCACTTTCAGCTTTTGAGGTTTTCTTGGTCCACTTGTGGTGAAACATGGTTGTGGACAAGAATTGAAAGCAGATGCTGCGCCCGCCCCGAGAAGTCACTTTTTGGCTTCGTTTCCCAGTTCTTGCGGGGCAGGAACCTCGGAGGCTGGATTTTCTCGGTCGTGTCAAAGCTTCCATTTTTTCGATGCGATCACTGGCGATCACATTGAACCTCCGATGGCCTCCAACCTAAGAGCGATGGCCTCCAACCTACAAGCGATGGCCAAAGTGCAAAAACTCTGACAGGATCCCAATTGTGCAAAGAAGGACTTTGGCTCCTGCGGAAACGCCTGCTGTCTTGCTGAGTTGGAACTGCAACAAAGCCCTCTGGAGGTGCGGGGAGGACTAGACCAGAACAAGGTGAGGACAAAAAGGGGCACAATGCGAGGAAGTGCCAAGATAAAGATTCAATGACTGCGGAAGTACCGGATCTTCTCTACTGATTTTGGTATTGGTAGCTTCTCTTTGAAGTCAATTCCTTCTTCCTTCAAGCCTTCCAGTCCACTTTTGACATGCACTCACATTGCATTCATGCCTCCCACTGCCCCAGTGTAGCCAGGTCGGAATCGAACAAACATGTTGCAAGCCCAATACTTATATAGTATACATGACATTCGTTTGTTTAGCCAAGCAAGCAAAAAACTGCCGAACCCTACATTGCTTGATGCAATCATTCTGTTCATTTGGGGAATGCAAACTCCTCAAGATCGTATCCTTTTGATACATTCTCGAGCAGTCTTCCATTCTCCATGCCTCCCTGACAAGGTTTACACGCAGCTAAAATCCGACTTAGAAAGCTCCGAAAAGGACGGCTTTGAGTATGTGACGGGTGGAAGCCCGAACCCGGCGGATGATCTTCGTCCTTACAATATTTCCAGCCCAAAGAAGTTCCAATTCATCCTTCAGGACGGCTTTTCGATTTTAAGCTCGACGTTGTTTTGTTTTTTCTTTTTTCAGAACGATTGACATTCGAAACTCTGGAGGGTCGTCACAATGCACCAAAATATTTCGGTGCCAACGGTGACATCCTGAACTTTGCGATCTATGAGGGAGATGCACCCACCAGTTCTGTGCTGCGGATGTTCTCCCTGAGTCGCATTCACGGTGCGTTGGGCGACAACGGACAAAACTACAAAACTCTGTGCCCTGCTGATATTAGGGGGCAGGGTTCCTACTTCCTCAAGTATTTTGGTTCATGGCGACGGGTGCTACCTATTGAGGGGTTTCATTCTTGCTGGATAGAATGCCAGAGACTCATGGATGGCACCTTGGCTGTGAGGGTCTCAGGGCCCTGGGATCCACTAGGCCCTTACCGGGCGATTTTACATGTGCGTCACGAGGTCGCTCTTGGCGAAGCGCTTGAAGGCGGCGAAGCGAGTGAAATATGGCTGCGGCACTGTGAGTGAATTGACTTTTGCGTAGAATGACAGATTCACCCTAGAGGAGTTGCCTCTTTGAGTGACAGTCAAGCTCTTTCTGGTGGGCTTTTGTCACGAGATTCCCAATCAATACTCGTGATCTGCGTGCTCAGGCCTCCTTTCAAGTTTTCCTTGTTGGTTCACTCCATTCTTCCTGAGCTTCATTTGATTCGCGGTTAAAGTCAAATCGTTTGGTGGCCTGTTCCGCAGAGGAGTGTCCATATTTTCTGCGTGTGACGCAACAAACATGCTGAAAAAGAACCTAGTAACAGGGGTTGCTTCAAGTATGAGCCAAGGTGGGCGACCACAAAGGATGTCGGCCTCGAGTATTTGAGTTGAAGGTGTTTTCGTTTTTCTCAATGATCTTCGGACGGTTTTTGTGCCAAGGCGGTCACCTCGTACGCTTCTTTTCCTCTTCCGAGACTTGGACAGATTGTGTAAACTGAGCAAACAAGCGCAAGTTTTTCTAGTTATTCTGATCATTTCTTTGTATTCTATTTGTCTTATATATACTTTTTCACTCAATCCTTTCACTTTCAGCATTTGATTTCTTAGGAGTATGACCTTTGTTCCTGCCTCAGAAAATGGCTGGACTTCGGTTGCATTTTTTTGTCTCTTTCAATTCTTTCCCTTCTAGTCTTCCAGTTGCTTGTTTCACGTCTATTTACATTCTTTTTCTTCAATCTACAACTTCCTTGCTGTCTATTCTTTTTCTTTTGGCCTTCCTTCCTTCCTTCCTTTCTTCCTTCCTCCAATTGCTTTGGCACTCAGCGCCTGTGAGGTGTTGTTGGCGCTGGTCCAGGAGGCTACACAGGTGCCTTTTCCCGAAAGCACCTGCGAAGGGTTCTCCTTCAAGAACCGGCTACCAACTTCAATTCTCGAACTATCATTTTAAGCATCATCATCGACGGCATCGTCATCATCATCATCATCATCATCATCATCTTCTTCTTCTTCCTTCCCAAACGCTCATCGAGTGATGATTGCGTGGACCCGGTAGGTCCGTCTTGGCCCTGTAGGGCCTGCCAACTTCAGCTAAACATTCGATCCAACAGCCGTGCCAAATCTCTGGCCATAGGCTGGCGGAATCTCAATGCCAAATGCAAAATACCAAACTGCCTAGGCACAGACACAAGTGATCCTCACTCAGTTCGGTGCCAAAAAAGGGGGCTGACTGGCGCACCACCAAAGAGGGGTGTGCCTTGGAAAGGAAGCTCGCTGCACTCTTCACTTCAGGGGAGTGTGCCTCCAACAATGCACGATGTGCCACTCCCATGTGACTGTTGAGATCTCGAGGCCGGCCTCTGTGCATGGCGCATTTATGACAGGGTGATGCCAGTGACCAGGTTGGTCCACAGAGATGCTAGTGTCCAGGCAGTCAAGTGCTGGAAGCCATTGGGAGTGCCAGTTGTCTTTGATGGAGGGATCATGTATAATGGTGTGCATCTTCTCCTGATCCGTGAGGATGGGAGATTCTTCTGGCAGCTGAGATATTGACTCAGCTTTCCTATGTGGCTTCCAGTTCAGCCAAAGGAGGCAGCAGTCTTCCTGCCATATGAGGGGAAGTAGTGAGAAGTTCACCTGCTCCTTGCCGGCGATATAGATCCACCAGAAGCCACCCTCCAAGACGGCAGTGCAATAGTGCCCGCCCTTGGCCACTGAGCCAAGGTGGTAGGAGGCAGCGGTGAATGGGGTGTGGTCAATCTCCAGCTTGGTGGCCAGGAAGAAGGGAATCCAGACCTTGGTGTTCCAGGCGGGTCGAACATGACGGTCCGTCGAGGGTCGAAGCGATCGATGTGGGTGCATGTGACATCGGCTGGTCTTGGGAGTGCTTGTAGACCAAATGATGCCATATGCCAGCTTGCCCATAGGGGTTGAGCTCGCTCATATAGATCGCAAGGTAGACTAGCGCAAAGCCTGGAGAGAAAAAGAGCAACTTTTGATGTCCAACCCTCCCCGGAGTGCAAGACCGTGGGATGGCCAGCTTGGAGACAGTGAGCCCTGCCTTGTCGGAGAAGAACCAATCTGGTAGTCAATGGAGGCGTCCAAGAGAGCCAGGAGATACCCAAGGACAAAGGTGAATCAGAAAGCTCAAGACTTTAAGGTAGGGTCCCCCTCCATGATGTTCTCCAAGTAGATGGATGCGGGCCCTGCTCAGCAGAGGGGTCTCGCACTAGCCTGTGCCATGGGCTGGCATGGGGCCTGAGAGCTAATGGCCCTTATCATCATCATCATCATCATCGTCATCGTCATCGTCATCGTCGTCGTCATCATCATCACCATCATCGTTGGTCGTAATCGTATGAGGTTGCACAGATGCAGGTGATTGATCTGATTGTTAAGGGTTAGCGTCGTCAAGTGCGTAGATGCAGGGTCAACGCCTGTAGGTGATACAGATGTTGAGATACAGGTGACACAGGTGATGCAAATGTCGAGATACAGTGGATACAGGTGTTGAGATATAGGTGCGAAGATCTAGGTGAAGACACCGACAAAGTTCATGTACGCAACTACAATTTCGATATCTTTACAACTACTCTGAAGCCTCGCACTTGCGCCTAGTGTATTGTAAACTTTTGTCGAACATGCGAGCAGCCCCGTATTTTAGTGGCACCTGCGCGCACACGTGCTTGTTGGGCTGCAGGTGCCATCAAAGCTGCACAGTTGGGCTTGAAGACAGTCTGCATCGACAAGTGTCTTGGTATGTGAAGTCTAACTATTTGATGCCTCGAAGGTGGCTCAAGGATATGAGCGGCCAAGAAGTCCTTGACGCAGAAGAAACTGAGAAGCGGCATAGCCGATAACCTTTGTTGCTTCTTTAGTTTTTCTTTCTCTCGCCCTCCCTCTGCTGAAAGACCCTTCAGCCAAGGCGTGGACCTCCTGGGGGCACTTGTTTAAACGCTGGGGCCTTGAGATGCTTTGAGATGTGAGAATTGAAGACACCAGTTGTTGTTCTCTTCTTGCTTGGCATCTTGCACTTGGCCTGCTTGGCCTCAAGTGCCAATTGTTTTTCGCATGCGACTGTGAGCTATTTGAACATCATGCAGTCAATGCAGTCATGTGCATGAGAAGACCTTGTGTCCAAGGTGGGGTGCATCCCATCCAAGGCTGGTCGTGGTCACTATCCCGACAAGACAATGCACGACCACGGAGTGGCAACAGAGAATTGAAAAATTTGCATTGACGACCTATTTCCAGTGCATCATCTCTTTTTGCAGTTTTTTTCCAGGCCATGCTGCAATCCTCAGCTTTGTTCCACGAGGCCAAGCAGACCTTCGAGTCGTATCTTAGCTGCAAGGATCGATGACTACGTTCTTTTCCAACACCCAAAGCTTGTTTTTCTTTTTTTCTGTCATAATATCAAAAGGAATGGAGCAGGTTCCGTAGCAGATTCTGGATCTGAAAAGTTGGAAATTGTTCTGTCACATCTATATAATCCAGCACAACATATCTTATACCCTACACAATGTGTTCTACACAGTAGACACCACTTCGTGTGAACCAAACGCAACATGTTTTGTACCACATGGAATATGTTTTTCTGTGTTTGCTTTGCTTCATGGACACACACACACACACAACATGTTATTTCATACCATATCCTACATGCTCTCAACTTGATGTGGAAAACACCTCTTCTATTTCAATGCGAATGCCTCAAGTGTTTTTACAGCAGTGATTGCAGATTGGAAAGGGGATGAAATGGATATGGTGACCAGGCGAGCAGTTTGCAACGTGTTATCTTAGGCGTGGCATTATGGGGGCCGTGGCTTGGCGAGCACTTGACCGTTTCAGATGCAAGCGACACAGACCAAGACGTGGAATAGTGGAAGAGATTCTTCAATGAATTTCAGAGCATTTTGGGAATCATTTGGCTGAGGATAACCTTTCTTGCGACTTCACAAAGATGATGGAAAACAAGAATGCAGCAGTCAAGAAGCTCACCCAAGGCCACAAGCCGTGACATTTTGCACTGGCATGAATTTTCATCCCGGCAGCACGAAGCATGTGTTTTTCATAAAACCCCCTCATGCGTCTTGAGGCATTGAAGGCCTCTTCAAGAGAGACAAGGCATGTTGGTGTTCACTATCCCAAGCGTCCGTTAAGCGTTTTGAGTGGCAGTTCCGTTAAGCTTCGCGTTTCAGAAGAGGGCCAACTTGAAACGGCAGTCGTGCACTTGTTGAGAAGATGCCTCGGATCTGCATTCTCATTACAGTATACAGTACCAGTATGTGGGGTTTGCTCTGCTATGCTTTGTGTTTGGTAGCTTCACCGTCGACGCTCGAGGTGACCTACTTGAAGGGCTACGGCAAGCTCACTGGGCCGAACTCCGCAACTTACCTAGAGCCTATGAAACAGCACCCTGTTAATCTTTGCTCGATCATTTTGGTTCTAAACACTCTCTTTTCCGGTGATTATAGACCTTGGTCTCAGATGTGAAGGACAATGAAACATGGTTCTGATGTTCATATAGCTAAGCTCATGTGCTCGATTCGCTTGATGAGTACGTTTTGGAAGCAGCATCTTCAGTTGAGAAGCTTAGACATTGACTATTGCTTGTGTGCAGACAAGATCAGACAAGTGCAGTGCGGAACAAACCGCTCTGACATGAGCGGATTCGCTTTGCATCCAGGTGAGTGTGGCCATGAATGATGGCAGTGAGCAGACCATCACGGCCAAAAATATCATGTCACTTGACACGAGGAGTTGGATTGTGCAACGCAATGATACACGGATTCTGGTCGAGACAGATTACAAAGTGTGAACGAAATCTGCTTTGTGGGAACCGAACTGTGAGTTGACCACCTCATGGGGCTCAACCTCTAAGACACCTGGTGACAAGGCTGGCTACAGGCTCTGAGATTATTGAGAAGCTGCCTTTTGTGGAAGTGGACGAGGAACAGAGACTTAGGCAGAACTCGCTTTGTGATTAGAGACAACGTGTTTTACGGGTTGTTTGACATGCAGGTCCATGTCTCTTCTTGCCCTGTTGCGTGAGCTTCGTGAGCTGTTCCAAATGATTCTGCCTTTTTGCTTCCGCGGAAAGCAGGAGTGTAGCAACATGTCTGTTAGTCGTTGCTGAGACCAAGTACTCCATCTGTGTCCTGTCTACTTTCCGAAAGGGTTGATTTCGTTCCTTTGGATAAGATGGAGGCCAATTAGGTTGGAGGCCATCGCTAGTAACAAGAAGCTACTAGTAGCTCCTGGCAATCATCTTCTGCGCACTCCAAGGATTGTGTCCTCCACAGGGGCATTGGACCTGTTTCGTGGCTGCAAAGAGTTCCGAAGGTAGAGTGTCCAGCAGCAATATGCAGCAGATGTATACATAGGTAAGATCTCATCGTAGCATTTGCTTGCTCGGCATGGTTGTGGCATACACCAAAGGTTCATGTTGGGACTGCCGCTATTTTACCACCCTTCGCCAGGTATCACCAAACCCCTTTGCTAAAAGAATTGAAACCTAACGTCACTCTGACCCTCACTCTAGCTCACAACATGTAGACATATTGCTCTCCAATGCCTCTGGGTAGAGCACTGCGCTGAAGTTTTGTTGCTGCTCCCCGTGGAAGGCCGAACTGCGTTTTCAAACTGGTAGAGCTTCTAATCCCCTTGCAAGTCAAGTATTCCTAGTAGCTTAGTGTTTCTATTAGCTTCTTGCTACTAGTAAGGCACTTGTTACAAGCGATGCACTTGTTCCTAGTAGCTTCTAATCCCCTGAAGAAGAATTTGGAAGAATTTACTCAGGAAGCAAGTGCCAGAGAAATTGGTGGTCATTGGCGGTGGCGTCACGGATCCGAGAGTGAGATTGAAGACTTGGTCTTCGTTTCTTTTAGACTTGGAAGACTTAATTGATTATTTTTTTCTTGTTTGCGTTTCATTTTCAACTGCAACATGTCTCACTTCGAGGTGATTGGATTGGAACTTGGCTCTGTTTACGAGCGGTTGGGATCGAAAGTCACAGCGACTTGTCTATGTTGGTGGAATCCCATCGCACTTTTCTATCCACTCATTTCTCGGAGATGACAGTTTGATACAGCCTCCTATGCTCTTTACTGCGTGCCACATGTCTTTCACTGACTTAGGTGGTTGAATTCTTGCCCACGATTGGCGGAATTGGGATTGATGGCGAGGTCTCAAAAGAAATGCAGAAGATCTTGCAGCTTGGTTGCCACACAGTCGCACATTTCACAGACGCATCCACACAGAAGGTATGGTAATGAAAACGCTTGGTGCTCATGGCTGCTTTTCCCAGGAAAAAGCAAGGCATCAACTTTATGATGTCGACAAAAGTAACTTGGATTACCACCTGGCATTTGTGGTTTGGAAGCTAACATTTCCAACAGTTGTGCGTAGAAAGTATGGGCTCGCCGCCGCACCTGATGGCGTTCCAAACATCTCATGTAAACGTCACTCTTGTGTGATTGTATTTGAACAATCATGGTTGCTGGAGTGTGAGACCATTTGTGCTCTTAGGTAACAGCCGTGGAGAAAACTGGTGGTCTGGTGAAGGTTGGAGAAGCAAACTGCGCAAGTAGAACCAAGAAAGCAAAAGCATTACTGGCCAGGTCACCACAGAGGCCGCAGCTGGCGGTAATGCTGAGACCATGGTGGGGAACTGCTTCCGATGCTTTTTGACGGGTTTGCCGTTTCGCTTTTTCTGCTTTTTGCTAAAGCTACAGTTCACTTCTTGCCATGAGTGCTAGGATGCCAATGTGGTCCTCGTTTGCGTTGGTCGCCGGGAATTCCGTGATGGCCTAGGTGCTGAGGAGGTGCGGGCAGGGTTTAGTGCAACATCATGCAACATCGGCATTCATTTGTTCGGTAGTTACTAGGAGGTGGAGGAGAGATGTGTGAGTCACACAAGTCATACTCGGAAACCGAACCATACCGAATCATCGGAAGATACGCCAAACTGGCCAAACTGCTGATCCAAGGATTGTGTTCAGCAGGTCACTGATGGTCACAGATTCAGCCTTGAAAAGGCAGATCGCAGGTTCAAACTCAACTGCATCAATGCTGGAAGGGACACCTTGAAAGCACCTCTAGAGCGCGATATTGAGAACGAGCAACAGCAGCAGCGATGGTAAGTTTTTTAAGAACGAGGCTGCCACAAAAGTGCAGAATCCGCAACAGTGAAAGAACTGTTTCTATAAGCTGAGCTCTCGTGGGAGACTCCTGCGGATCAGGAAAGGAATCAATGCTTTGTAAATGCGAAGTGTGCGTTTTTTACAGTAAGTTGAGAGAGGGAGAAGGGGAGGGAGAGAGAGAGAGAGAGAGATAGATTGATTCTAAAGCAGCATGAAGAACTCAATTTACTGAGTTCCGTAGAGAGCTGGAGTTGTATGGTTTCCTGTGCTCTAAGTGCATTGCATGGAGCTTTGCCTGGCGTGTAAGTCAGTGACTCACTGAGATTTTTAGCTGCAGCACTCTCTCAACCCCAGTTGTGTGCACCATGCATATACAGGATTTGTCCATCAACGATTTGTTTAATACTTGCAATCTTCAACAGTTCAGAGAGAGATGGTTTGAAGCAGGCTGGTTTTAACCTGTGTTGGCAAGATATTGCAGTTCGACATGGTCACTACTTACTCGTCGGAAATACACCGTGCCTTTTAAAGTACCGTGCCTTCTCAAGATCTCTGTGCCTTGCTGCTTTCGAATCTCCGTGCTCATCAGTCCTGCCTTTGCTTCTTTTCACAGACTCAAGGCACATGCCAACTTACTGCGCTGGTTAAGCGGTGTTGGCCCTTATATATACGAGGTTCCCTTTGAACTTGGGTCACACAGACACACAAAGCAGATCAATTCTGTGCATTCATGTCAAGCCTTTAACATGCATGTGCCACACTTTGTTTTCAGGTGGGTGTTGAACTTGATGGCAGAAAGATCAAGGCGCACCAGTTGCGAGATGAAGGTGTTCTTTTGCTAAGATATGGAAATTAGATGAAATGAGATTTTCGAAGGAACTTCCCTTTTGTATTTCAGATGTAATTAATTGCCACTTAGAATTCTTGACTTGGAAGGTCGATGACACCTTCAAGACATCCGTGCCAAGCATTTATGCCTCCTGGCACACCTCACAGGTGATACTTTTATATAGAGTTTTCGCTTCATTGAACGTACATGCTTTTGTGCTTTTAGATGCTGTTAGGCACAGGAAATTAGAATCGCTACTTTTTCTTCAACAATTTGGGCGTAAATACAGCAGTATGGCTTGCACTCATTGCCATCAGATTCTGCTTGTCGTCATGGAGTGCCAAGGCCATTGGCGACATCATCCACGGGCCAATGTTGGCCCACAAAGCAGAGGATGAAGGCGCCATGGTCGCTGAGCTGCTTGGCTCTAACATGGACGACTAAAACCGAACACGCAAACAAAACTCGACTTGGAAACCTGTCGCAAGCGTCTTGATCCTTTCTCTAGACCTGCAACAGCCCTTGGAGGAGACATGCAGATCCCTACACGGATTTTGCTATCTTCCCAAACGCACAATCCCAGGTATTTGGCCACCGGAAAGCATCCGCACTTGGACTACAACAATGCCCTTCCGGCCTGTACATTTGCACATAGTGAGACCATCGGACATTCATCTTCGTCAGGTGCCCTCCGTTTTGTACACGCATCCAGAAGTTGCCTGGGTGGGCAAAAGTGAGGAAATGTTGAAGCAGGAAGGCGAGCCCGTGACGTTTGTACTGTATCTGATTTTGAGTCTGCGAGCAGATCGGATTTGCGCAGCTTGCACAGGTGTTGAGTACAGAAAAGGAAAGTTTGCTTTTGCTGCCAACGGGCGATCCATCGCAAACATGGACACTGATGGCTTTGTGAAGGCGAACGAAAACGGAACGACTTTGGAGAGGTCTCCATTGCTCGATGAGCTGCATTTGCAGCAAAAATAGTTTACAACAAGGTAGAAAAACACAAATTAGAAGGGGAAGTAGTTGGTGCCTTTCCAGGTCCTGTCCTGCAAGAAGACTGACAAGCTTCTGGGTGTACACATCATCAATGCCATTGCGGGGGACATCATCAGTGCCCAGATGCAATCAGATCCAAGAAACCGGGGATCTTGAAGGTTGTGCATGATAACCTTCGGAGTAGGATCTTCTGTACCTTGATGTACCTTGTGTTGGCATTTGATACCAATGTTTTCAGATTCCAGCACAGATCAACCTCATACCCAGCTGACCCACATGCAGCAAGACACCGAAAAGCCTGGCAATTCACGAAACGGCGTGGAATCTCTTGACCACAGGTTTTGTCAAAGGGCACTGTTTGGATCAAGAGGAACAAGTTGGATACCGTGTTTGGTTTGATTCGCAACGATTTGTTCAGCCTAAAGAAACTAGAACGAACACGAAACATCCATAGGCACTTTAGCGTCTCCATGAGTCTCCAGTCTGCACTTTGTGCGACCTTTGGTCACTAAGGTGGTGCATGTATCGGCATCGAGTATGGTGCTGCCTCTGAGGAGTGGAGAGATCAGGGCACCATCCTGGGGCCGAACTTTGTTCCGTTTGGCTCGGCTTCCAGTCAACAACGATTTCTTAAAGAATTGAGTTTTGAAATGTTTTGAATAGATGGGTTTTTGAAACAGAAGGTCTTAGCCTTGAGCAAGTTTTGGAGGACCTCGCGAGGGTTTGCATGGCGCATCCTACTGTCTCAGAGGTGGGGTGAAGAAGGGGAGGATATTGGCATCTTTGGACATTCATTATGTTCTTTGATGCGCCTTTTCGTGCGCTTGAAAGCTCAGACCTCAGGTTCTCAAGGGAGCTGCCCAGAAGACTGCCTTCGGTAAAGCCGTTAGCGGATGAGAAGTTGCATTGCAAGTTGAACAAGAATAGCAGTGGCAACACCATCACTGACCATGAACTTTTTTGTTGACCCAATGCGTTTGTACCTGAGGGGCTTGGACCGTTTGTGGCAGTGGCAAAATGCATGTCCACATTCCGCTGTGTTACTGTAAAGTCCAACAGTAACTGCACCAATGGTGCATATCGGCAACAAGATTGGTGGTCTTGTGCCTGTATTGCTTTGTGACTTCAGAAGGAATGAGAAAAGAAGCCTCACAGCTTGCATGCAGCATTCATCTTTGTCCTTTCCCACAAATGTTCAGGTCAATTTATCCATTTTGCTTACTTGTCAATGATACATTTGGTTTCAGTGTGCATTTTTGGACATGCTGGCAATACTTCGAGATGTCGGTGTCTTCGTGTGAGGGCGCAGCTTGTTGAACTGGATGCACTTAATATCCAAAGCTTAACAAAGGAGCCAAGGGCATCGCTACTAGGAGCAAGGACGCTACTAGAAGCGCTCATGCAATCATGGGCCCTAACGGCCCTAATGGGGAACGTCTCAATGTGCCGCAAGGGCACGAGGGCGCACTTGGCATGCAAGTTAAAGACTTTGATCATTACTTTCGTTTTTGTACCCGCTCCTACTCAAATTGTATCAGTAGGCACCTAATTACTTAAATTAAGTAAGAGAGTAAGCTGGTAGCTACTTGAGCTACTACCTCCTGGACGCAGGATCACGCTTCCTTGAAGAAGCGCTCGCGCTAATGGCTAATGATTTGGTTCCTAGATTTTTAGGAACTTGCACATTTGAGTTTGATACTTCGAACGTGACAGAAGATGGCATCCACTACTGGTTGTTTGCTCTTCTTTGGGCTTGGCTCAGCGCGCTGTCGCAGCGGTTTTGATATACCCTGGTAGCGAGCCTTAGCTCTTTTTGGTTAGACATTCAGACTACATGTCGGCAGAAGCAGAGTTTTGCATGCGTGTTCAGTTTCATGTGATAGCAGATCATTTTGGACGCCGATTTCTTTGAGTTTTCTTTTGACACGGATGCGACCTGGAGGTCATGGCGTCTATCGCCTGGGACTGCTTGGGGTGATGGCAATGAACGACAACTTTTTTCAACTTTAACTGTTGTGCTATTTCATTTCTTTTGTTCCGTTTTCTTCCAATCCTTCAACCTGAATTGGAATGATCCACAGGACAGAAGGAACTTGTATGAGACTACAGCACCAAAACACAGAGAAAAGACAAAAGAGAGACAACGATGGGAAAAAGAAGGCGATAGGAGTATAAGCAAAGACCCAAGGAAACTATATACAATACGAGACCTTTTTTTGCCTTTTCGAAGAGACGGGGCACTCTTTACCTGCCTCTTTTTGAGGACCGGGTTCCCAGTGCGGAAGCTTTGGTGGCCTTTGAGCTGGCATCGCGTGAGGCGAGATCGAAACCGTTCATATGTTCGCACATGTCCATGTTTTTCACGAATTTGACACTACGAGCAGGTAAGTCTACATTATGTAAGCATACAGAAGCGTGCACTGACGGATGTCGACTTTCCTGGGTGCTTCAAGTCCTTCACGCAGGCTATTGCCAACGGCAACTCCTCTGGCTGCGATGAGGCAACGACCTTGGCAACATACCCCAAAACGAGCTGCAACTTGCAATTCACGTAGAAACGTATGACATGTGACAGACATGCGATAAATTTTGTGTAATTACCTTGTAGACTTTACTTTGTTTGTAGCCAAGTTACTATCAAACAGGCCACTGCTTGCCTCGCAGCTGCGGAGGCCGCCGGCTTTGGGAAGGCAGAGGAGGCTGGAAGCTGCAGCTTCTGCAGAGAAAGTCTACTTTGTTCAAACTATGCATAGCCATATAGGCCATGAGCATGCTAAGCACTTCCAAAGTTCATTCCATGCGCAGTAGCATACCCTGCAGGCTTCTAGTCAGCTGTGTGAATCTGCAGTCTTATCACGGTTGAAAATGCAGATTAAGCGTTTGAACTGAGCAACCTCAAGCGCTGAAGGCGGAAACATCAGCCTTAGCAGCGCTGAAGCGCGCCAAAGAGGCAAATGACATGCAATGTCAGGCGCAGCGTGATGCATGCTTTCCAAGCCTTATTCTCTTCATATATTCTTCATTCATATTTTGAAGATTTGGACGTTTTCCAGATTTAAATCAAAAGCGTCAAGGCAAGTTGAGCCATTCATTGCCACAGGCAGCTGCGCATTTGTTGCTCGCTGGCTTAGCAGCAGGGACACATTCTGCCATCGAGGCAAATTCCGCCCGAACTGAAGGTGTCCAGGATTCTTCAACAAAAGGCGCTCTCGCAAGGACTTAAGGCTTTGAGTAAGGGGTAGCCAAGAATAGTTTTGTCCGCTTCTTCACAAGTCAGCCATACCCGGTGTCATGAAGTGCAGAAGCGCACAGGCATTTGCACACCTGTATAGGTTGCAGCGTGGAAGATTCACAAGACGTTCTGACTCTGAATGAGCGTTCCATGTTTTGGCAGCTCGAAGTGTCCTTTTCAGGCTTTGGTGAAGCCTTCCCAGCACAATCCCATCAAGCTTTATGAACCACTCTTTTCCACAGGTTTCGAACTGGAAATACATGCTGCAGTAGGCAAGTCCTTTTCTGCAAAGCGTAAGGCAATAGACTATGAGACTTTTGAACTGATCATGTGCGACAGGCAGAAGAGCATGCCACTCTTGCAAAAGCCCTGTTCAAGAAAATAGGTGGGCAATCAGAGGGAGCGAGATTCCAAAGAAGCTGTGTAAGAGTTTGCACTGCGAAGCGGATGAATCTTATTGGATGCTTGAGAACAATGAGAACCTTAGATATCTCTTCGGATGTTTCAGGACACAGCAGTCAGAGTTTTTCATGGCCAGACGATTGTAAGAGTTTGTCAGCACAATGTGCTTGGCTGGATTGAGCAGGGTTGCTTGAAAAGCTTTATGCAGATTTCAACTTCATGAAGTTCTGATTGCTTTCAGGTGACGAGATGGGCGAGGCCAAAGCAATTCATTTTCACGGTCAGGGTGCCTCAGGGACATGACATCACATCAACACTTCAAGACTTTTGGATAGTCTCCTTCTGGTGTTGAGTGACATGAACAGGAAAACTTGCAAAATCATGACCAAGTTTCCCAAAATCTGGGAACCAAATCATTAGCGTGAGCTATCCTGCGTCCTAAGTAGTAGCTTACTTGTAGGTACTAGCTACCTCTCCCTACTAGCTACCGACTCCCTAGCTAACCTATCCCCTAGCGGCCTACCGCCCGTGGTTAAAAAAAGGAATATCTACAGTATATGTATATATATATATAACAACCTCCTAAAGAAAAGACATCTCCAAAGTCTGGTTATTGAAGTTCTGCACCTCAGAGGTTCCATCCACATCCATCCTTTTTCACGGCACACTTTCTTTGCCTTGTCCCACTTGTGCCGGTTGTGTTCGACGGTTTCATAGCAAGGTTGGGCTTTAGCTTGCAAAGGCAAATTCGAGGAGAGAAAGGAATAGCGACTTTTGGACATCAAGATGCTTCAAGATGCTTCAAGCACTTCGTTGTTGAGCTTGCTTGGATTCTGTCTGAAGCACAAGCCAATAGATAGCATATATTTGTTGGGAAGTGTTCTGCATCTTTGACAGAGATACAGTGGTTGGCCTGTTTGTGTGTGCATGGTACAGATGTTATGAATTCTGAATCTTGGGCACAGCGCAGATGCTGCTGAGATCAGAACAGTGTGGTAAGAAGACTCCATGCCTTCGCAACCAGGAGGGTATCGAGATGTGCACCGATGCTGCCATCCGCTTCCGGCAAAAGAACCTCAAAAAACTCGAGGCAAGAAATGCACACCGAAGCAATTTCTTCTTTTGAAGCACAACAGCTCTTGAATTGCTGCCATCACATCATTGTATACCTAAAGCGGTTGGAATGCACAGCAGTGGATCAAGAAACTGGTGTCATTTATGTCATTTGCTCTAGGCTTTAGGGTGCTATTGCATGGGACGGCTTTTCTTGAACCGCTGTCGGAAACCCAGACGTGCGCACGAGCACCAGGCGCTAAGAACTGGGGGAGAGACACGTAGTCGCAGAAATCGTGACATCGGAAGTAGCTTCTTGCTACTAGTAGTAATGGCATGTAACGCCCTTGTTACTAGTGGCGATGCCCTTGTTACTAGTAGCGATGCCCTAGTAGCGATGCCCTTGTTACTAGTAGCGATGCTCTTGTTACTAGTAGCGATGCCCTTGCTACTAGTATGTAACGCCCTTGTTACTAGTGGCGATGCCCTTGTTACTAGTAGCGATGCCCTAGTAGCGATGCCCTTGTTACTAGTAGCGATGCCCTTGCTACTAGTATGTAACGCCCTTGTTCCTAG